AGGGCAGTGTCACTGGCCCTCATATGTGGGATCTGAACCGGGGCCCTCTGGCGTCCCAAGCCAGCTCTTAACCAATGTGCCACTCGGCTGGCCCTGTACCTGTTTCTTAAACAGACTTCCCTCATGGTTGTAAAAACTTCAGGCCCCTCCCCCAATCTGGATTGACTGTTGACCCCTCTCACAAAACATTAGCTGTTGATGAATTTAATTGTATCCTTTCTCCTCATCTGCACCGATACGGTAGGCAAGACAGATTGGCACATTATGAATTCATGATCACTAGCCTTTGAAGGGCTCTCAGACTCACCCTGCCAAGTTTCCCTGGTCAGCATATTGTGTTTCTCCATGGAGATCTGTCACACCCATCCTGCTCTCCTCAAATCTCTAAGCCTCTGCCAATAGACAGCCTCACCTCTTAACAAAAAAACTGAATGCCTCACCTGTGTGCTACCAAACACTTCTACCTACCTGCATAGCCTCCTCTTCTGTTAAGAAAGTAGGAAGTGCCTCTTTTCCTAGTTAAGCCTGTAGTTCTTTGGAATCCATCCCTTCTTGCTTCCTCCTTCAATATTGACTATGTACGTTGAACCATTCCTTTGAGGTGGATCTCCCGAGTACCATTTAAACATGATAAAACCTTGTCCTAATTCCCTCTGACCCACATTCCCTTCCAGCTACTTCCCTATCTCTTGCCTCACTTTTTTTCCCCTTTCTTAAAAACAGCTTTATTGAGATACAATTTACATACCACAAAGTTCAACTGTTGAAAGTGTACAATTCACTGGCTTTTATTATATTTACTATGCAGCCATTGCCATAATCTAAATTTAGGACATTTTCTTTCATTTATTTAACAATTTTTTTAAATTTTTAAATTACAGCTGACATACGATATTATATTAGTTTTAAGTGTACAGCATAGTGATTAGACATTTGTATACTTTAGGAGATGATCACCCTGATAAGTCTAGTGCCCATCTGATACCATATGGTTATTACAGTATTATTGACTCTATTCCTTATGCTGAACTTTACATCCTCATGACTGTTTGTAACTACCTATTTGTACTTCTTCATCCCTTCCCCTTTTTCACCCATCCCCCAAATCACCCTCCCATCTGCCAACCCTCTAAATGTTCTCTGTATCTATGAGTTTATTTCTTTTTTGTTTATTTTGTTCTTTATATGTAGAATCTTACATGATTCTAAATACAAGTGAAATCAATGGTATTTGTCTCGGTCTGACTTACTGCACTCAGCACAATACCCTCAGGTCCATCCATGCTGCCATAGATGGCAGAACCCATTCCTCTCCATGGCTGAGCAATATTCCATTGTATATATGAACCATCTACTCTTTATCCATTCTTCCATTGACAGACACCCAGGCTGCCTCTACATCTTGGCTCCTGTAAATAATGCTGCAGTGAATATCAGTGCACATGTCCCTTCAAAGTAGTGTTTTGGGACTTATTTAAGAAGAAATAAAAGATAAAAAATATGAATAATAAAATAGCAATAATTACATGTCTATCAACAGTTACTTTAAATGTAGGTGGATTAAATACTCCAATCAAAAGGCATAGGGTGGGGCCGGCCGAGTGGCGCATTGGTTAAGAGCTGGCTTGAGACACCAGAGGGCCAGTGATGCTGCCCTCTACAGCTGAGATGCTGAACAACAGCTCAACCTGGAGCTGAGCTGTCGTGAGTCGCCCAGGACGGCGTAGGCTGCAGCCCCTGTGGAAGTGGGTTGCCATGGGCTACCGTGTGTAGCCAGCAGCCAGCGTGAGCGGCCATCCAGAAGCCGGCAACTTGTCTGTTCCCCTTCCCCCAATTCCCCAGAGCTGTTCCCATCCCCCAATTCCCCAATAAAAATCTTAAAAAAAAAAAAAGTAAAAAAGTAATCCACAGTATGGGAAGAAATATCTGCAAATCATACATGTGTTAAGGCACTTGAATAACACATAAACATATACAACCCAACAATAAAAATAAAAATAACATAATTTTAAAATAAGCAAAGAATTTGAATAAACATTTTTTGAGAGTGTATATACAAATGCATATCAAGCACATGAAAAGATGTTTTCATTAGTCATTAGACAAGTGCAAATCAAACCACAACAGGATACAACTTCATACTCAGAAGGCTGGCTGAAATAAAAAAGACAATATATAACAAGTATTGATGAGGATGTGGAAAAATTAGAACCCTCATGCATTGCTACTGGGGTTGTAAAATAGCACACTTTGGCAAACAGTTTGGAAGCTTCTCAAAATGTTAAGTGTAGAGTTGCCATATGACCCAGCAATTCTACTCCTTACTATACACCCAAGGAAAATAAAAACATATGTNAAAAAAAAAAAGGCATAGGGTGGCTGAATGGATAAGAAAACAAGACCCTTGCATATGCTGCCTACAAGAGACTCACTTCAGGTTGAAGGACATGCACAGACTGAAAATAAAGGGATGGAAAAAGATATTTCATGAAAATTGAAACAAACAAACAAAAATGCTGGGGTAGCAATACTTACACCAGACAAAATGGACTTTAAAACAAAGGCTATAACAAGAAACAACGAAGGACCCAGTAATCCCACTTCTGGGTATTTATGCAAAGAAACCCAAAACACTAGTTTGAATCATATTTTGTTCTGTAGTTTTTCCTTTTCTATCCACGAATACTCTATTCTTGCTGTCTCAGTTTCAAGCCTTCCACTCACACTTTAACCCTGGGGAATTCAGCTTCTACCTTGACAAAATACTTCTTGGTAGGGTTACTAGTGATTGCCTGGGTCCTAAGTCAAATGTTCTTTTTGCAGTTCTTGTCTTAGTGGACTTGGCAGAAGCATTTGACTCTGACCAACCCTCTCACACATCCTTTCCTCAGCTTCTGAAACAGCATATGTCCTTGCTTTTGGTTTGAATTCTCACCTTTTATGACTCCTCTGCAAGGTCATCGCTTCTACCTGGATATTATTTATTAGAGGTTTTCAGACTTTGGGTTAGGCCAGTTTTCCTTCTCACTTTTTATCACTGCTGTCCAATATAACTTTCCATGGTGATGGAAATATTCTGTATCTGTGTTGTCCAATATGGTAGCTACTAGTTACTTGTGGCTATGGAGCACTTGAAATGTGGCTAGTATGACGTTGGTATTGAGTTTTATTTAATTTTTATTTTTAAAAATTTATATAGTCACTTGTGACTAGTGTAGCTACAGAGCATGTGGCTAGTTGCTGCCAAATTAGACAGCAATATATTGTCTAAGTCTCCCCAAGTTCTTTTTTTGTTGTTTTTTTGTTTTTGTTTTTTTAGCTGAGCCATCCTGCCACCTGTTGGCAGCTCAGCGGCAGCTCAGCTCGGGCCGGGAGTCGAACCGGCGACCCTGTTGTTCAGAGCTCACACTCTTGAGTGACCTCTTTACCAACTGAGCCACTTGGCCAGCCCTCCCCAAGTCCTTTTGATATGACCTCCTAAACAGTGTCTCTCCCTTCCCCGCCTCCAATTTATTGAAATATAATTGACATATAAAACTGTATAAGTTCAAGGTATACAATGTGTTGATTTTATACACTTATGTATTGGAAAATGATTACTTCCATATCATTAGCTAATAGTCCTATCAGGTCACATAATTACCATTTGTTCTTTGTACTGAGAATATTTAAGATCAACTCACTTAGATCTATTCCCTTTTAGTGAGTCTTAGTACTTCCTAATCTAAGCTTTCACCATCTTTCACCTGGCATTTTGCTGTTGCTTCCTGCGTATTCTCCTTGTATCTGCTCAGTCTGTTCTTCACATACTTCCAGAATTACAACTTAAGTCTGACCGTGTCTTTCTACTGTTTACAATACTATAATGACTTCCGATTATTATTAGGGTAAAGAGCAAAATTCTAGTAGCTTATGAGGTCCCATATGGTTTGACCCTTGGGTCCCTCACTTCATCTCTTTCTGCTGCCTTCTCTCTGTACTACAGCCACACGAGCTTTTGTGTTAGTTCCTTAAATACCTGTATTTCCTCCTGTCACAGGGCCTGTGCTCATGTCGCCTCCTCCGATTCCTTTGTCTTCACCTTTCTCATTCAGTTTGTCATGTCCTTATGAAAACCTATCTGGATATCCCTCCTTAGGAAGGGGGCCCAAGTTACAGGTGCTGAGCCCCTTCATTTCACAGTCCTAAATTTTATGTATATTTATGTAACTATTTCATTTTTCCTCCCTCCAATCTATAAGCCCATTAAGGGCAGAACCTGTGTCTGATTTGAAGTGCACATATATCCTTGCCCCCTAGCAGTGCAAGGCATAAACTAGACTCAGTAAATATTTGTTTAATGAAGTGCATAGTCTAGCAAATATGAAGATTTATTTGTGACTAATTTAACAAATACTGGAAAGTTAAATAATTCATGTCTTCAGTATTCCTACATACAGTATAGGTGTATTTTTGTAATATTTCTTCAGACTGTTTTTACTTTATTTTGATTTTGCCTTTTTTTCTCATGTAAATTTCTCTGGGATTTGCTTAGCCTACTATAATAAATAATTTATTTTATAAATGAGCATCTAGTGTCCTGGCAAGTCAAGCATGTTGAGATTTCGTTATATATACTATTAGATTAGCAGAGCATGGGCTTACTGATGCTCCGCTGGTTTCCTCTTTCAGTAAGCAGTGTATTTTCAATATACTGAGATATGTTGGCAGTTTAATAGGTGACACTGATTCATAATAGTTTGATTTTTTTTTAAATACTACTAATAGTAAAATGGCATAGAATTGGTTCTAGTCATGTGGCTAGGTAATGAGAAAAAGCCAAAAATACCAATAACTGGTAGAAAGAGAAATATTTATGAAGCTTTCTAAAGTAAAGCCATTTAAGATTTGAATTTTACATTACTTTTCTATTTCTGAATTTAAGAATTAATTAATTGAGGACATTGTTTTACTTTAATTACCGTCTTCTGATCAGCTGACACCAGGGCAAAGTGGGGGAAGGTGAGAGAAGGCAGGTAGGTCTTCCTCTGTAACTTTGCGGCTGTGCTGCCTGTCCCTGGAAGCAAAGAGGGGTTCTGAGTCCAGCCATCCAGGACTGCCCCAGTGCCCCTCACCAAATTCCCAGTGGAAGATCCAGGTCATGGGAGTTTCTAGAAGGAAGAGTACTTGGCTTGATTTTTATTTTTTTAAATGTCAAAAGATCTTTTCAGTAAATTAACTTCAAGTGCTGAGGAAACAACCATAGGCTTGGTTATTTGTTAAGCTTGTTGAAATTCCTGATGGATTTCTTTGAGCCAGTTTATGTGTTGCCTGCAGCTCCAGGGTGAGCCTGAGATTCACAGGTAGGTGGCAGACGTGTACGTTTCCAAGAGTACTTGTTTATTTGACATAAAGGGGCAAAAAGTTTGACAATACCAACCAAACCTTACTTTTATTTCTTCCAGCAGAGCCTAAAACTAAATCTAGTTCTAGGTCTCTTTCAATAGGAACAAATGCTTTTATGTGTTTCATTAATTAGTATTAAAATTATAATAGTTATATATGTTCACTATAGCAAAAAAAAAAGAAAAATTACAGAGAAATATACATAAAAAGACATCTCACTTCTCAGGGGTGACCACTTAACTCCATGTCTTGAATACGTTTTTTTATATTGGTTGAAGCTCTGCCCTATTCTTTTGAATTAATACATCATATTTGGTCATATGGTTGTAACATAATTAATTGGTACATAAGTTATTTCTGTTCTTTTTCCTGTTACAAACAATGACTCCAGAGGACATATGGACATTCTCTGTGTGTATTTTTACCCACATATATGACAAGTTGTAGGATAGATTCATAGAAGTAGAAACTACTGAGTCAAAGTCATCAATAGGCGTATTTCCAAATTACCATCCAAAATTGTTGCACTGGTTTGCTCTCCCAGTAAGAATATGTGTGCGTTTTCCTGCACTGTCATCAACTCTGAGTACTATTGGTATTTTACACCTCTGCCAGTAAGATAGGTTAAAATTCAATCTGACTGCCTAAAAAGGCTATATTTCCTATGAGATTACTCTTTTTTATATTTTATAGGTTCATTTTGTTAATCGAAATTTTTGACTAGCAAAAACTTATTTTGGTATAAGGAGTGTAAGGTGAGGATCCAGTGTTATTTTTGTTTTCTAAATGGCAAGCCATTTATTCTAACACTTTCTGTTGAATAATCTTATTTTCTCCATAGATTTGAATAGTCCCAGAGATTGAAATCCAGGGTTGGTTTTTTTTTTAAACAAAAGTTTTTGGAATTATCTGTAGTTGTTGAGCCTTTCCCTGACTATTTTATGCTTTTCCTGACATGAAAAGCTCACATTGACTCAAGGCTCAAATTAACCACCTACTAAAGTTTCACTGAAAATAGATGTTTATCCTATAAACTCTTTACCCTGATAGACTAGTTTCTCTGAGACATGAGTGAAAGGGGATCTTTATAGTGAATTTGTGAGCTCTCTTTCTTTTCCATTTGCTTTGTTTAAATACTGGTAAGAACTTGGGAATGTGTTTGACCACTTCTTGGAGACTCTGTCAGGAGTCTTATTTTAAAATTAACCTCTGGCCTTGGAAATGGCCTAATGCACACCTTTGACTTATATATACTGTGATTGTGACATTGAGGTTTCTAGCAGAAAAAAAGGTAGAAACTAGATTTGAGTTTTCTAGAAAGCAGTAGTTTATCTCTAGAAAAGGGTTAGTCAGGTTGGTTTTAGATGCAATTTGCTAAAATAATTTTAGATAGTGGGTAAGTTGGGACATACTGAGTACAAATATGATAGTTCCTATGTAATATTGCTGAAAATTCCTGTAAATTGCTCCTTTCTCACATTAATTTGTTAGAATTAATTTGAAATTGATCATCCGCAAGGTAGTTTTGGACTTCTCTGCAGTGATTGGCACTAATCTGTGTTTGTTTATGAATCTAGGTATGGTGTCTGTTTTGGACTTGATGCAGGGTGGGTTCCCGTCACGAGCTTCATTTCATGAACTCTACAACATGTACAAAAAGTATATGCCAGATAAACTTGCAAGATTAGATCCAAGACTGTTTTGTAAGGTACAAACACCACCTAAACTGAAATTTCTTAGCTATAAACTATCTTTCTTATTGATTACTAGTTGGCATTTAACATTTTACCTTTTATTTTTCAGGCTCTTTTTAAAGCTTTGGGCTTAAATGAAATTGACTACAAGTTTGGGTTAACAAAAGTATTTTTTAGACCTGGCAAGGTAAATGTATATTTATATATATTTTTTATTTTTATTAAATTTATTGGGGTGATGGTGATTAGTAAAATAATGTATGTTTCAAGTGTACAGTTCTATAATATATCATCTGTATATTACATTGTGTGTTTACCACCCCGAGTCAGTTCTCTTTCCATCACCATGTATTTGACCCTGTTTACCCTCTTCTGCCATCCCCTCTCCCCATTTACCCTCTGATAACCACTAAACTGTTGTCTGTGCCTGTGAGTTTTGGTTTGTCTTGTTTGTTTGTTGCTTTCAGTTTATTATCCCACATATGAGTGACATATGGGTCTCGACTTTTTCTGTCTGACTTATTTCACTTAGTGTGATAGTTTTTATTTTACCATGATGAATATGAATAGTTGGGGTCAGTGGATATTTTTAAGCATTTAATGATTTGTATTATTCATGAATTATATGATCACTAACAGCATGCATATATGAATATGTAAGAAGTTTACAATGGGTAGTATTCTGGACAAGTTTTACAGTTTTTTTCAGCTTTGGAAGTATTGGAATCGGAGTATTGTTTAATTGGATTTTTTGCTTAAATAAGGATTAACCTGAAAATACTTCTGTTTTAAACAAGTTGAAAGCTTTTCTAAAACATACTAAATCAGTCTTAATAATTAAAAATTTTGAGTCTGCCTTGTGAGAACAAGTTCTATTAGAGTATGGTAGATTTGTAAGATATAGGAAATTGGACTGGTGTTCGTGCTGACTTCTCTTAAAGCCTAGAATGACTGAGTGTATAAATACATAGTTTTCTTGGCTACCACCTAGTTTTAGTATTTACAGGTTCTTGTATTAGGTTTCAAACTGACTTAAGAATATTTCATAGCTAAATATAACACATAAATGCAATTCACAATGTTTATAATATTTTCACCATTTTTCTTATTTAATATTAATTGAATTACATCCTCCTAATTTTAAACACAATTGTTATATAATAGCCAACCATACTTATTTGACTTAGCAGAATCATTAATAAGTATCTGTAGTGCCTAAAGGCTAAATTAATCATAATAAATCTGATTTCACATTTTTAAAATCTATGAGATAAAATCTATGTAATATATTACCAATGTATGTACTTCCCTGTGAATATTTTTACTGCAGAAAATTTCCTGTAAGAGGAAAAGAAATTAAGAGAATACAAATACATATTTGTAGTTGGCCTAGCTATAATCATACATATTCATCATAAACTCAATATTTCTCTTATTTCAGGGCTGTAGTAATATTTAGAATAATAGCCTGATAGAGAAAACACTTGGTCGTGTTTGCCTTTGGAAAAATTAATCACTCAGACGGACATGTTGAAAGCCCAAGGCAGATTTTCACAGGTCTTTAATCTCATTATGTTAGCTTTAAGTTAAGTTTGATTATAAGAAGCCATTATATTGATAGGTACGTGACAGTCTCAATATATTATAGTAGGATATTTGGTAAAGGACAGAAATTATTATGTAATTTGGTGATAAATTATGGAAATGATGCCTTGTATTAATTAATAATCTAATAACTGTTTTATCTGTGTTGTCGCTTAGTAGCAATTTTTTATCTCTGACCAAAATAGAGTTGGGGGTTGGAGGAGACAGAATAGTTTTAGTGGTAACTGATATTATATAGCTGACCTTGAGTTGTCATGAACTGTATACAGATATCTGAGAATGTGGATGAGTCAATTCAGAGATACAGTAGCCCTTTTTACATTTTTTTTCTCAGTAACAAAAACCTTTTTGCAAACCATCTATAATTGCCATTTAAAGTTTTTTTCTGTTTTTACTATTGAATCTGCTAACTAGACGTGAGGAACCCCCCTTACCTCTCCAAGAACCGGAAAGGAGGGAGGGAGGGAGGGAGGGAGAGAGAGGGGGGAGAGGAAGGGGAAGGGGAAGGGGAAGAGAAAGGGGAAGGGGAAAGGGAAGAGGAAGGGAAGGCACCAAAACAGCCAAGTGTGTATCCCACCGAGACAAAACCTATGTAATGGCTTGTGACCATTTCCAGAAAGTTAGATTTTGGATTTAAGTTCTAGTTATTTTGTAGCTTTGTGTGTTTAAACACATTTATCTTTTGATATTGACATTACATCATTTTATTTCCTAGTTTGCAGAATTTGATCAGATTATGAAGTCTGACCCTGACCATTTAGCAGAGTTGGTTAAAAGAGTCAATCACTGGCTCATCTGCAGTCGCTGGAAGAAAGTTCAGTGGTGTTCACTCTCAGTCATCAAATGTAGGTGTTTTCTTTCACCCAAGATTATTTTGGAAATGAGTTGGTTTGTGGAATGTTATGAAATTGTCTCAGTGGTGAGTGCTGGACAACAGGGACTGCGTCTCTTATTCATTCATGTCCCTGGTTCCTCAGCATAACACCTCATGTGTAGCATGTGATAAATCAGCATTTGTGGACTTTATTTTGAGTGTATATGATACTTCTTAATCCAAATGTATAATAGGAGAACTAATTTCATCACGTCCTAAACAAAACAGAATTCACTGTCTTGATTCTTTTCGCTCTCTCTCCCCTCCTCTTCTTTGCCCCCTCACGCCCCGCAATCTCACAGACACGAGCCAGAGCTTTTCTCTGGCCACCTGCATGACTCCACTACAGCATGCCCCAAATTCCAAGATTACATGTTCTCTTCTTTCTTTTCCCTGAAATCTTGTTGGTCAAGACATGCTGATTCCTCCTCCCAATACTGCACATTCTTTCCTCTTTTTTGCCAGTGCCTTAGTGGAGCCTCTCTTCCACTTGCATAACTTCAGTAGCTCCCAAACTGGTTTTCCGGAGTTCCCGAGTTCCCTTCCCAGAGTTCTGTCTCTAAACTAACAGCCTTTTAGTCAGGCTCTCCTTTAATGTAGAGCAAGGTCTGGAGCCTTAGAATGTCTTTCAAGATCACATACAGTGGGGCATAGGCTTCCCTTTCAGCCTCTTCTCTTGCCTCAGCTCTTTTAGAGCCTGTTCTCTGACACCCTGGCCTGAGCTGCTTTTTCCTGTTTCTGGCCAAGTGGCAGTGACTACTTATCTCTGACCCAAAAGGGTGAGGGGCAGATATTTTGGCATTACCTGAGGGTCTGTGGAAAACCCTTAATTGTGGGGAGCTCTTGTCAGTAACTTGATTCAATGTATAATTACCCCTCCCCCCACACTTAACGAGAGTATCTGGAACAGTGCTAGGCATATGAAAAATATTCAGGAAATTGTTCCTTATTAATAGAAAAAATAAAATTCCTTTGACATAATGAAAAGGAACCATGCAAACAAAAATTATTATTTAGGTCTTTTGTTACAGAGTTGTGGATATATCTTAAAAAAAAACTGTAATAAAGAAAAAAATAACAGAAGCTCTTTTCTCATCATTTTCCAAGTAGAACATAAACATATTTGTCATTAGCATTTAATACTTCCAGCTTTATATATTGCGTTATGATGGAAAACACAGGATATTAAAATCATCTGTACTATATCATTTGTTCATGGACTGTGTTGTGCAATGAAGTCAGTAAACCGTCAGGATCTTTGCAGGATGTTAGGGAAGCTCCAAAAAAATGTGTCAAAGTCAGATCAGTTTAGGACATTTTGGGTAACTGAAGTTAAATTACAAATGAATTCCTTTAGTGTAGGATTATCACAGGCCTCACTCAGTATGTTCATTGTGAATCTCCAAAAGTAGCTTACAGCTTTTCCTAAATTCATTTGACAGGGAATACTTTTTTGCAAGACACACCTGTTAACATTTCATAGGCCAGCATTGCCTCGGGCAGTTTGGGAAGCAGTAGTGTAGCATAATAAGGAAATAATACACTTAAAATGTGAACCTAGCTGTATACATGATATACTTTTTATTTATGAAGTATTAGGAATTAAAGAAATGTTAAACTTCCTGATTTTGATGTCTGGGATAATATGTTCAAGATTTCATGTTTCTTCAGAATTGCTTTGTGAAAGTGAGTGATTTTTAAAACTAGTGTATGTCTGATTTTAACTGAATAATTTTCTATCATTGTATTTTCCTCTTATATGTAGTGAAAAACAAAATAAAATATCGAGCCGAAGCCTGCATTAAAATGCAAAAAACTATTCGAATGTGGCTTTGCAAAAGGAGACACAAACCCCGGTAAGATGAACAGTGCCTAAAGAATACTACCAAGTTACCCAAATATTAAATGGCTATAAAGTCAGAATGAAGGGCAGTTTGGATACTCAAGAATTTCCCCTCTCTCTTGCTCTTTGTAAAAAGATGTACTTAGTCTGTTATTGTATTATTTATTTGAAATTAGTTATTTAATTCATTACTTCCCTAATTCATCACTTCCCTCATTCTACAAAAGGATTTGAAGGAGCTTACAAAAATATAGACACTATAAGAGGTTGAAATAAATGGTTGAAAGAAGCTCTTTTATTTTGATTAAGTGACTTGAGTTTCTTGATAAATGTCATATTGATATTGTTTTTAAAAACACCTCATTAATATTTTGACCATAATTTTGAAGAGTATCTGTAAGAATTATATCATGTCACTGTAAATTTAGTCTTCTTATTTGCTTCTTTTATTATTATTTTACTCTTTTATTAGTTTACTCTAAACTTGGAGGGCTGAATAACTGTTAATCTTTAACACCTTTTCAAAGAGATTAGATAACTCTTTTAAGTTCTTCTATAATTTGAATTCTCAAATTTTTCAGTGTAAATATAAAAGGCTTAAATCCTATTGACAGGCATCAATGTTATTTACACCCATATTTGATTGTTTTTTTTTTTTTTACCCTCAACAAGTTACCTGAAAGAGAGAATAATGAATAATATGAAAACAGAAGTGAAATATCCTGGTTAGCAATATGTTTAGCATTTTATTAAAATGAAAAAATCTGCTTATCTCATTAAATGGTGAAATTAAACTCTGACAAAGCATTATCTTTATAGTATTGATGGCCTGGTTAAGGTGGGCACACTGAAAAAACGACTAGATAAATTTAATGAAGTAGTGAGTGCACTGAAAGATGGAAAACCAGAGGTGAATAAACAGGTCAAGGACCTTGAAGTTTCTATTGATGCTTTAATGGCCAAAATTAAGGTATGTATTTTAAACCAAATGACTTTGACTTTTTATAATTTAATATCTTTTGTTATTGTTATTGAAAATTTATAGAAAAATATCCTCATTTTTTTAAGGATACAAACTGTTACAAATGTTGAGTCCGGGTAATGGCAAGTGATGCTCATTGTGTTACTCTTGCTACTCTATCTTTTTCATAGCAAAAAAATAAAAAACACAATTGTTACGGAGTTTTCTCTGTTGCTAGGAAAGACTTTTCCCCAAAAAATAGTAACTAAAATACTTTGTTGGCAAGCTTTTATGTTATCATTACTGAGAGGATTAATACAAATGAATTTGTTTCATGTTTTTCTACTTTCAGAAACTAATTTTTAAATTAATAAAAATAATGTAATAGTATTGAAAATTTGGAGAAAAATCACCAAAAAAACCCTGAACATACTAACGCATAACTGTCGTACTGTTGAATATTCCCTTCCCGTCTTATTTTATATGCACATATTTTGCATAGCTGTTATCATAAAGTACATTTAATCTTGTATCCCTATCATTATGTCATAGGCCTAATCCCTGTAATTACATTATCTTCATATAGGCTGTATCATAAATACTTAACTGTTATGAAAATAGCAATTAATTTTCCCCAAAATTTTGTAGGAAAAAAAGTGAGCCTCTTTTTTTTGTATTAATTTTTATTTATTTGATTACCTGTGGGATTGAAGACTTTTTCTATATGCTTGTTTGTTAATTATATTCCATCTGTCTCTTCATATCTTTTTCTGTTATATTTTAGGGTCTTAATGGTTTTCTCATTTAGTTTCATAAGTGAGTGCAGTTATGTGGGATATAATACCTTAACACAAGCCTTTTATATTTCTTGCAGATATTTTATGTAGACAGTGGTCAGTCTTAGAGGTAGAATGGAGAAAGAAGATCAAGAGAGGAATGAAAGGGCCGGCCGAGTGGCTCAGTTGGTTAAGAGCTCGCTCAAGAGTTTGAGCTCTGAGCAACAGCGGNCTCTGAGCAACAGCGGTTCGAGTCCAGCCCGAGCTGAGCAGCCGCTGAGCTCCCAACAGGTAGCAGGATGGCTCAGCTAAAAAAAAAAAAAAAAAGAGAGAGGAATGAAAATACTTTGGATAAACTTAGCTGATTTTGTAAATCTGTCAAGAGCCACCATCCCTGTTTATGTGGTATTAATTAATTAAAATCAATCCAGCCACATTTGTTGAAGACTCACGTTGGAAAATCATCCAGCAATTTTGGATATATTTAATAATATCTTAAATATTCCTTAGGGTACTATTTGAACATCATTATTAAAGAGTAGTAAACTGACAAAATAAACTAATCATTCCTTAAAAAATAATTTTTAACTACAGTATGTTATTTTGTCCACAGTACCCCCTTAAATATCTGATTACTTGATTAATAGGAAATAGATGTAAATAGTTGTATGTAGAGATAACTTTAAAATTTTTTGAATATTTTAAATGTATAAACAGTATAATAAAGATAACGGGGTTTATTGCTTACTAACTTTTCCAGTCTTTGCTATATATGTGCATATATATATAATATATAATATATATATTATATATATATATTTTTTTTTTACTATGGTAAAGGCATATAACATTTAATTTACCATCTTAACCATTTTAAAATGTACAATTTAGGAGTGTTCAGTGTATTCACATTGTGCAACAGAAGAGATAACTTTTTTTTTTTTAAGTCTACTATGATGACAAGGGAACAAATACAGAAAGAATATGATGCACTAGTTAAAAGCTCAGAGGAGCTCCTCAGTGCATTACAGAAAAAAAAACAGCAGGAAGAGGAAGCCGAAAGACTGAGGCGTATTCAAGAAGAAATGGAAAAAGAAAGAAAAAGACGTGAAGAAGATGAACAACGTCGAAGAAAGGAAGAGGAGGAAAGACGGATGTAAGGCATTTATATTGTTGTTTTGAAACAGAAGCTAACAGAATAGTGAATTCTTGGTGTTGTTGGTTAACAAATATTCTTATTTTTGAAAGTCATTCTTATTGTACAATACTACAGTCATGCACTATTTAACGATGGGGATATGCTCTGAGAAATGTGTTGTTAGGCGATTTCATCTTTGAGCGTACATCATAGTTATACAAACCAAGATGGTTTACCCTATTACACACCTAAGGTATATGGTATAATACCACCATGTATGCGGTCTGTTGTTGACCAAAATGTTATTATGCAGCTTATGACTGTAATTTTAGAATAAGTTTGAAAATGGGGAAGAGCTAACTTAATAACATAAAATAATTTTAACTGTATTCTGACTTTTGGTTAGATTCATACACCTGGAGACTTCTTAACTTGTTTTTAAAGTGATGGCTTGTATATCATATCATTTTATAAGCTAGAAAAGAGGTACTTTTACCTTTCTGCAATTTTATAACTGATAACATTTTGGAAGATTGTCATAATAGGGTAGATAGAAGGAATATAAAAGTTGTTTAATTGGAGGAGTAGAGGGAAGCACATGTAATCACATCCTTACAACAAGGCTTTGTAATCAAGTTATCTAGAGATGTTAAAGGTTATGCAACATGTTTGTTTTGTTTTGGAATAATTACTGTCAGTAGAGGAAGATTTTAGGTTTTTGGTTTGTTTTTTTTTTTCAAAATAAGTTGATAAGGTAGAGGGCCAGGAGGTTAATTTGAGTCCCCATTCTGTAACCTTTGTTTATGAATAGTTAAATTGCCTTCTGAAGGATTCCTTATTTTCTGTTAGATTTTTTTAAGAGTTTGCTATTTTTTGTTAGGAAACTGGAGATGGAAGCAAAGAGAAAACAAGAAGAAGAAGAGAGAAAGAAAAGGGAAGATGATGAAAAACTTATTCAGGTATGTAATGATTAGACAGTCAGACTGAATTTCTATCAAAATAGAATCTTCAAACTTATAATAACAAAAGAAGTGAAAACAAGATCTGTTAGGTAAGCTGTTAGTGGTTTATTCCAGAGATGAAAAGCAGCTTCTGAAGTGGTTATGGGAAGGCTCTTTGGATCTAGGGAAGTGAGTTCAAATCCAGGCTCTGTCACTGACAGAAATTATGACATTGCACAAGTCACAGTGAGTGACCGTGGGCCACAATTTTCTCTCTGTGTAGTGGTGGTAAATAATAGTTGTGAGCCTCAAACTAGCTAACACATGTTAAAAAGCATTTCGAACAGTGCTCAGTTCAATAAATACTAGTTGGTTGGTATTGTTATTATATCTAGGGGAAAGTCAGATGAACATTTACCTAAAACCTAATTTTATAATACACTGCTCCAATTAAACAAATTATAAAATGTTACCTTATAACTTTGTAGATATCAGTATTAATAGGTTAGGATTAAGATTCCCTCCTCACCCCCATTTTTTAAAAAGTCCATGCCTGAGAATAATTGATCATGTATTTGTGTTTCTGTTTTTCTTGGCTTTCATAATTTTTCCTGAGCACCGTGAACACTTTAAATTCCAGAAGTCTGCTTGTTTGGTGTTCGTGTTTAGGTGATACCTAGAATACTCATGCGATATTTGGGAGGCTCACAATAATACAATGGTGGAGCTGTGGTCTGTCTACCTTTTGTGGGATTTGGAAAGACTAAGTATAAGTCATGATGTAGAAGAGATTTCTCGTTAAACAGTACATATTCCTTAGTAAAAAACTTATATGGAACAGTTTAAGTAGTAACGGGAGTGATCAAGTAAGCAAGTGGAGGCGCTTTGGTGGAATGGCTTTCTGTCCTTGGCAGGCGGAAGTAGAGGAGCAGCTGGCCCGACAGCGCGAGGAGGAATCCCAGCAGCAGGCGGTCCTGGAGCAGGAGCGCCGGGACCGGGAGCTGGCCCTGAGGATCGCGCAGAGCGAAGCGGAGCTCATCAGCGACGAGGCCCAGGCTGACCTGGCGCTGCGGAGGTACTGGGCCTTTGGGTGGGCTGGAGCGCTCTCCCCGCTTTCCTTCTCTCTCTGCCTCTCGTTTCACCCCAAAGGGAATAGGAGAAAATCATATTCCTTAGATGCTGATATATTTTAAGTAAAATCATTTAAAAATTATTTTGTATCCACCTTTATACCCAAGTAAATGAAACGATTGATTTTAACAAATTGTTAAACTGTTGGGGGGGAAAAAAAACCACTGGTTCACGAGTACTTTAAGAAAACATCTCAACTTTTACTCTGAAAATGTCAGAGTATTATAAAAAAGGGCAGATATCTAATTTCTAAATACCTGCCCTTCAGTACTTGCATAGAAATCAGTGAATATATTTGAATCGAGTTTAATATATTTGAGATTGGGGTTTATTATTTTCCTAATGCAAATTAAAAAGCTATATCATTTATCTTAACACTTGGAATGAGGAGAAATTTTACAAACACACACATAACCCCATGTTTCAAAATTTCCCTTTCCAAGAAGGAAGGTTAATTGCATTGAAATATTTTGACTCCTCAGGTTTCTGAATTATCTCTAAATACTATACATTATTGGAGTGTGGAGGAATATGGAAGTTCTTACTAAAAATTGCAGGAAGGTTTTTAAATAATAGTTTCACTTAAAAAATTTAGAATGTAGAAAGATTAGTTATTTGATTATTTATTTGTAAAATCAAAGCAAAACAAGTTTGTGGGGTTTCTTTATATGTAATGTGTATGTTCTGTGCATATTTTGAGGCACATAGATATATGAAACCATAGTTTTCAAAATGTCATAGTATTGTTTGCAATAAAATATAATTAAAATACAACCACTAGAGGTTGCTCTTCCCTTGTGAAAGGAAAAAACTTGGTTCATATTGCAAGGCAGTACTTAGATTTTATTTAGCTGAAAACAAAGATGGGGAAGGAAAAGTTGTATGTTAAGTTGCCTTTATATATTTTCTAGTAAGTGATTATGTTGGGGAGCTCTGGGGCCTGAATTGTATATGAAAGTATATTATATTTAAATAAACTAAATAGGCCTAGCACAAACAGGGTATTATAATAATTGTTAAGTTCTTGGGCTTGAGTCCAGTATTGGGGCTCTTATTAAAACATTTCACTATAGTTTAGATATTTCAGCCTGTCTGTGGTTTTTGTAGCAGCAGACTCAGCTTAGCTGCTGTTCCTTTCTTTCCGCCTGTGTTAGCTTGGAACGGCTGGGAGCTTTTATGTATAACTGACCAGTGGCTTGGCCAGGCTCCTAAACAAACCAGGTTCTTACAGCTGCTATCCCTGATGTGTGTGAGGAAGTTCTACACCGGACACAGCTGTGTTTATTATGGCTGAAAGGCATTTCTAAAGGACTCATTGATGGAGTCATTTTTGGTATTCATTGCCAAGCTTTATGAGTAAGTATTTGAAATATTAAGCTATAAACCAGTGTCATTCTATATAATACAATATATATAAGATACTGGCTCGTATGTGGGCTCCTTCCTGTCCTCAGAAAGGTGCACTTTTTCCACGGGGAGTGGTCTCAGAGAAAGAGTGGACCATTTAGGACCTTTAACATAAGTGACAAGTTAACCTGTGATTTAAGTTAAGCAGAATTAACTAGGTAATGGTACCTTACTAAGCAATTAGGTGATATTCAAGCAGTTGTAACTTGAAAGGCAGAAGAGTTTGTTTTTGTCCTCTTGTGGGACAACCTAAGGATACTGTCCCCTCTCTGTAATGCTCATTTAAGTCCTTTTTGTCAGCTCCAGCTTCCAGGAAGCTTTCACTGTCCCCCGGGTCCTGTGAGCTCCTTCCCTCCTGAACCTCCTGGTGATTTTATAGTCTGTACTATCAGGAGTAGCACATTATGTTATGGATGGTGTTCTATACAGATTTTCCATGTTTGGTAATTTTTATCTTACTCCATGAGCTATAACTAAGTGTTTTTAAATGCTTATTTTATCTTTGTTAGTACTGAATTCTTTCTAACAAATTTGTGAGTAAGAACTCTTTAACCCTGTTCGTCGTATATAGCATGAAAATGTTGTTCTTGGGTTCTATGATGTATTAAAAATACATATAGATGGATTCTGCTGCAATAAACCATTTCAAGTTACTTTTCCAGCTTGGAATCCTGTCCAGTAAAGTCTAAGTGAGAATTGTTTTCCATATATGTAATACGTTTTAAAATATGATCTCAATCAGTTACACATGTGATTCTTGATGCAAAGTGATGATTTCACATTATACGCATGCCTTGGAGATATTGCGAGTTCTGTTCTAGATCACTGCATAATCATTTTGCTGGTGGAGGGTCTTGCCTTCAATTTGTAAAAACATTTGTGAGGCGCAGTAAAGCACAAAGCACAATAAAACGAGGTATGCCTGTACCTAAAATTATAAAATAATATTCAGATTCTATTAAAAACAAACAAGCAATTCTCACAATGTACAAATTTTCTAATCTAGATGTAATATATTTGCACTTTTATTTTCATTGAATGCCTTTTATTATCTTCTAATCATTTTTAATGAAGATTTAAAAACATTAAAATTCTGAGTGATCTCACACATAGATTAAATAAAGATAATGGAATTTTTAAAATCACCGAGTAAAGTCACTGAAACATAAATTTGGCACAATCCAGATTTTCACAATTTAGAAATGGCTATGATATTAACTAAAATGTATTCTTTTTACAGAGTTGATGGAGCAAGACCCAAAATGACACCGTATGTTGTTTCCCTATTTAAAACTTGATTTAATCATATAACCTTTTTTGTTACTAGGTTGTGGATACATTTTGGGTGAAATAGTTTCCTCATTAAAGTAAATTTTAGTAAACAGAATCCCATTCTCTTTTTTTTTTGCCCAGCAAAAATGTTTAATGCTCTTGTTTGGTGCTTAATGATAGTAATTTGTGATTTGGTTTCCTTCTTTGTTTTCTAACTTTGTTTAAACTTTAAAACCCATTTTGTTTTATTTTTTAATGTTTTTTAGTTATTCCCTACTTATGTCTTTATAGAAGCAGGTGTGGAGATATAAACAAGAATAAATAAAGTATTTGAGTCATGGCAGATAGCTCAGTTTTCAGTATATATAATAGTTTATTCTATTAATGTCTACAATAACTCATAATCTGAAGTTATATATACAGTGCTAATTTTGGTGATATATATATATATATATATATATATATAAAATATATTTTTGCCTGTCTTTTATATCTGTGCTAAATATATAAAATTTTGGAATATATATAAAATCTGAATTTTAACAGCTTTTAGAACCCCAGTTGTAATGTTTATAGTGATGGTTCTCAATTCTGTCAGACTCCATACCAATCGCAACTGTTTTATGAATGATGTGATCTACATAAAGAATTCTGTCCAAACAATACATAAAAAAGAAATAAAAGCACAACAATTTATAATAAAACAATTATTTTAATATGAAAGTGCTTGGTCACAACCACGGGAAAATATAATCAAGCACTCAGATGTTTGTATTTATACTTAGAATCACCACGAATGCAGTACTTACAAATGCAAATTTATATAAGAATTTTATCAGTCAAGTAAATGCCATGAAAGTGTGAACAATCCTTTGTAAAGTTCTGAACAGAGTTAATTACAATCCCCTCTCATTATACAATAGTTGCATTCCTAGGAAAATTCCGTGAATATTAAAACCATGCAAAAAAAGAGGTTGTTTTACATGTAAACTTTGTTTACATGTAAAAGTATATGTGTATGTGCATTACACCTCAGTATGTCAGGAGGACATGTTAGAGTCACATGGGCATGGGCAGCTCTTCCTTGTGCAGGACATTGGGCATTCCTGACCCATCACCTCATCAGATGCCAGGAGTGCATTCTCACAACGCTATAATCCACGGTGCACCAAACATCATGAAAATGTCACTGATTTAGTGCTATCGCCCTCTATCAGAACAGCTTCTTAACAGTTATCATTTGAGCTTGAATTAAGCCCTGCCCTGCAGCTGATGTCTAAAGTCAAATTGTGAGCATTCGCATATAGTTTGGGAAAATCAGGAGAAAAGCACCTGGCTGCAGGAACCATTTCTATCCTGTATAGTTTGTGTAGCACCTAGAGCAGTAACATAGGGTTAGGTGAGATATTAAATCTCAGTGGAGATTGCCATCTAGTGATGCGTTGGTGCATACAGAGAAATCACTATATGGTCAATAGACCAAGCAGTAGAGATCTTTGAAATGCCATGAATTTCCTTGAAACCTGCTGTGGAAAAAGAAATGGGAAAAGCTTTGGGAGAAAGAGATGGTAAAAAACAGATGCTCTTGGATACTGAGATAGCAACCTTGAGGTAGGGTGATAATCGAATGAAAAATAGTTTTTAAAATCATGCTGAATTTCAAAGTTAGAAAATTCTGACTAGCCTACTGAGAGATTGATAAATATATTGCTAAGAGGTAATTTCTTTAGATGAAATTTGCGTCTTTTTCTTTGTTTTTGTTATCCTTGGTCATCAGTTTTGAAAGGTTACTTTTTCTCTGATTGTGCTTGCTTGGCCAGACCTCTGTCAGTACCTGATCGTAGCCAGTGTTCATTACAAGGAAGGAGAAACACAGGAGCCCTTCACTTCCTTCCAATCAGGGCATCCAGGCATCTTGGCAGGCATCCAGGAAGCTGTGCCTGGAAGCAAACATACCGTATTTGCCGGCGTATAAGACGACTCGGCGTATAAGACGACCCCCTAACATTTCCACTCAAAATACAGAGTTTGTTATATGGTCGGCTGTGTGTGATTTTGCGAGTGTGGTAAAATCGCATAACAGCAAAATCGCATAACAGCCGAGCATACACCCAGCAGCGCTGCTGATGCCTGAACGGTATGTGGAATGAAGTGGGCGGGCATCGGGAGGCCACTGTGGCACGGGGCAAGCACTATGGGCAGTCTATCTGAAGTGTACCTGGCGTATAAGACGACCCCCCACTTGGAGGCATATTTTTCAGGGCCAAAAAATCGTCTTATACGCCGGCAAATATGGTACCCGTTTTCTTCTTTATGATTTTTACTGATCTGTAAGATTTTGAGGTTTACCAGAGTCTGATGAATAGAATGAGTAAAACAATGATTTATTGTGAAGGAAGACAGCAAAGGACAGGAAAACCAAACAATGAAGTTAGCAGAGTATTGGTGAACATGATTAAACATCCATCCCATTTCACAGAATTAAACAAATATTGAGACAAGTCACACTCTTCTGGGTAATAAAAGAAAGTTTTTTGCCTTTGGGAAATGTGTGTCCTTGAAAGGTCAAAACATTTTTGACCTTTAATTTAACAAGTACTTGATACATTTGAATTCTTTTGTTTTTCAAAGCATGTTTTGTTGTAGAATTTTAGAACTTTGAAGACATCAGACGCTATTTAAACTCGGGCACTGTAAAATAGGTCGGCTTGGTTTAATGCCGTTAAGTCTTGTCTAATTAATATTTACTAAGCAACCCCAGTGCAAAAACCCTTGTGTAGAATCAATATCCTGCCAAGTTTCCTGTATGCATTTAGAACATGCTGATGATAGTCTATACATTAAAAAAAAAGAGAGAGAGAAGCGTGGCTCTCATGTGATTTTTATATGAAAGTTCCTACTGCAAAAATGGAATTCAAATAACTTTAACTAGATTTAAACAAAATTTTGCTGTATTTTATGACTATAAATGTTGAGAAGTATATTATAGACTTTTATGAAGTAAAATAATGAGTGGTTAATAAAACAACAATCTCATTGAAAATATAAATTTTTAATTATCCTTTTAGATATTTTAAGTAATTTATGTAGTTGTCTTTTATATAACTATGTTGTATTATTATTTTCCTTATAGGGAACAGATGGCAAAAGAAATGTCAGAATTCTTGAGTAGGTTAGTGCAGTGTAATTTGGGGAAATAAGTGTCACCTCAAAATCATATTTTTAAATTATTCTTCATTATTTGGACCAGAACCTGCTCTAGGAATAGCCGACTCTTTCTATGTAAATTTTCTGTACAAGAAATGTCATTTTACCCTCACATGGAAAAAGGTAAAAACCAGTGTTCCTCTGAATCAGTGTATGTCAATGGGGATACCTTTGGCGTTTTGGATGGGTAGTCCCCACCAACTCATACTGACAAAATGAGTATTTTGAAACTTTCTCTGGAGATGGTGCTGCCCTCTGGCTGGGAACCACTGTGCCTAGTTGAAGCGGGGCAAGTAGAGGAAGAGTTTGGCTCCTGAGGAGCTCTACACCATAGCGCATGGTTCAAATACCACTGATGTCAAAATTGAGCCATCAGAGGGTATAACTTCCCAGCAGGATCTGGTCCATTACCTTTATAAGTGGATATGAATCAATCACATTTTAACTGTCAGTTTTGAAATTAGAATTAATTGAAAGTGTAAAGTTAATATGTTTTTAAAAAATCAAAGGTCAATTTTGCTACTACCATACTGGATCATTTACGTAATCACGTAATCACGTCTTTATAACAATCTAATCAGTAAATTTACACCTTTATTTTACTATTTTAATAACTCCAGAGATTGGAAGGGGAAGCACTTAAATACATTTCATTTATGTACTTCTTAGGATGCTGATATATTTTTTAGCAGGTGTATATTTGTTTGAGGTAATATGAATGAAAAGTTAGTAATATAAAAACCACATTTTAAGCAGTAACAATTTGAACTCAATGCTGTTATTTTTTAAAGTATCAAAACACACCTCATGTATATTGACACATCATATGTTTTCTGACAGCTATAAAACTGTGTACTATGTAAATTCACATTCTCTTTCAAAAGAAAACAACAACGAAAAACCCATAATAATTTTCAGCTGCTCTCCTAGAACAGAATCTTAGAAGAGCTAGGAAGAAAAGAGAATTTTTTGTTAATTGAATGGTGGTTTAGGGATGTAGAAAAGAAAAAAAGAATATGTATTTGAATAAATGTTAAAGCATAATTTATTGTTAAGGGTAGTAGAGAAACCTTGCTGACACACAGCTGGCTCTTTTTGAGCAAAGCAATTAAAAGAGAAAGCTATAATATAGGGAAAATTGCCAGTCACACAGCTTATGAAAAGTATAGATTCTGCTATAAACCTAAAACAGATTTTAAACACAAAAATGCAGGAAGGACTAAATGGCCACACGTTTTCTTTAACCAGGCGCATATATATATATATATGTCTAACAGTTTAAAAGTGTGTATGCTGAATATGTTATTTTTTATTCTTTAAAATGAAAGTATAAATTTGTCTTTTAAAGAGGAAGAATTACCTAATTTATTTTGTTGTTAAGACTAATATGTCAGGAAGGAAGGATACATATTTTCAATAGCATCATCTCATTAAATGTTTATGTCTTGACTGTCAAGATTGCTCTTATCTTTCAAAATGTAAAATATGAGAAAACAGTAGCTCATTTTCGAATATTGTACCTTGATCGTCCCTCTTGAAGGGGAAATATTGTCCGAGCAGTGGATGATAAAGGCGAAATTCCTTTTGTGATACCTGAGAAGCAGTATTTTAGTTCTTTAATATTTAGTTCTTTTAATTTTTGTACCGTCTTCTTTTCATGTCTTAAAATATGATGTGTTTAAATTCCTTTGTTACATGGAGCTTAAAAGTCCACTTGCAGCTTATTCCGAGTGTCTGCCTTCCGGCTAGTATAATCTTCTGCTGAAAAATAATGTTCGTTATTACAGAAAAGAAATTGTTGCCATTTTTTCTGAATAATTATTTCAAATTATGTATATAGAAACAAGTCTTAATCCCTGAGTAGCACTGCCATGAGAGCTGAATTTATCCCATCTTATTTTAAAATACATTATTCTTTTTATCTTTTATATATATTTTTAATATTTTAAAATTTATCTTCTCTTTCCCCACTCAGATGTTCCTACTACACAGGGCAAAATATAACACTTGTGCCCTTTGAAATTTCTGTTATCTGCCTCATGATTTAAAACCACTTCCTTTAATTTAGTAGCTGTCATAGTGTCACTAAATATGAGGGTGTGGTTTTATCTGCTTGTAGAACTTTTCTAAGTTTTCTTTAACAGCGAAGCAAAAAAGTCTAGAATCAGGAGTTTCCAGAACCTAACAGCTCTGTGAGCCTCCCTTTAATGACTAATGCAGTGGGTTGCAGTTTAGCCACTTACCTGGGGACCCTATAAACACCAGATGCCCAGGGAGATTCTGCGCCAGTAGCTATGGCTGGAGCTTGGTCATCTGTAGCTTCCAATAGTCTGTAGGTGATTGTACTGTACGACCTCAATGGCCCATAAACCCTTAATGTGCTACTGATGATGTTTCGTGTATGTTGAGGATTTCTTTTCTGATTTTGAGGAATATATATAAGAGCATTTTTTTTAACTTTAGATGTTCATATATCCATCAGAACATTGAAACTGAAAGCTGGGGAAAATCCATGATACTAGAATTTTGGAATCAGGTCTGATTGAAAACCTAATAGGCTATTAAACGGCATATTGGAAAATTTTAATTTACCTGGACATCCTATAGCACACCATTCTTAATCTCATCTGTCAAAGATACAAAAATTGTTGTGTTTTTCTAGTAGTTATTTCCAGCTCTTAAACTTACGCTCACTTTCTTGCCTGTTTAGTCAGTGTTTCATTCATTTTTCTAGTTTAAATGTTCAAAAATATGTAATAATTACAGAGGTCCTGCTGTACAAGCCACCAAGGCAGCTGCTGGTACCAAGAAACATGATCTTAGTAAATGGAAATATGCAGAACTACGTGATACCATCAATACCTCTTGTGGTAAGTGTATAGTGAGGATGAAAAATGGTAAGGCTCCGTACCTGACAGGTAATAAATACTCAGATAGGGGTGGGATTTTTAAAACTTTGCTATAAATCAGTATAAACCATTCTGTTTGTTATGGTTACCTTGAAATGAAGACCTAATTTATACACAGCTAAAAGAAAGACATACTTACTGAATTAAATTCTTTTTGCCTATATCTTGCCCTAGGTCACAGAGGAAAAGCATAGAGAAATTATAGTTTGGGCTGTATTAATGACTGGCCCTTCTAATGTTATTTATAATAAATACTTATATATCAAAATCTTTTGGTCTTGAATGCAAAGTAAAAATGGCAGTGCAGTCCTTTCATTTTAATGCGATGTTTCTTCCCACAGAAATGTACAATACTATATCCAGAGGGTCCCACTCATAGTTATGGTCTTGGTTAAGTCACAGTGTTTGAGTTCAGGACACTATGACTAGGAACTAAAGAACTTCTTACTATGTTCTTTCCCACCTCACTGAGTTTATCTGTGTAATGACACACATAAAAATGTGTTGCATGTAAATCTAGTTTGCATTTGAAAACAGTGACTTTTTATTCTTTTGTCATGGCCTGTGACCTTGGACAAGTGACAACCTCTGTGATTTAAGTTTTAGACCCATTTAGTCCAGGGTTCTTGTGTGGAGCAAAAAAGATAATAATAATGCATAAGAAAATGCTCTGTAAATATAAAACATAATATTACCATAAAATGCACATCTCTATCAATAATTAGCTTTCTTTTGATTTTGTACTATTATAATAATTGAAAAATAAAAACTTTATATAATATATACTATAAATATGTATATGCTAATGCCACAGAATAATTATGTTAGACAACTAAATTAGGATGTTCCCCTTTATTTATTTACTTAGTTTGGCTCTTTCTATATAATCAATAGATATTGAGCTCCTGGCAGCTTGCAGAGAAGAATTTCATAGGCGACTAAAAGTGTATCATGCTTGGAAATCCAAGAACAAGAAGAGAAATACTGAAACAGAGCAACGTGCTCCAAAGTCTGTCACTGATTATGGTAAAAACAAATCTGTACTTTTGACTGTTCTAAAGTATGTGTGTATATATATATTTTTGACTGAGATATCCAAAAACTGAATTTCATTACTTTGTTATACAAAAAGCAGAGCTGTATACTTGGAATTGGAAAATAGAGCAGGGTAGACATAATCCAGTGAAAGCATGCACTAGCTTTAACATTAATTAAGAATACCCGTGATATATGAGTTGTTATTTCAGTCTTAAAAAGTAGTAATTGCAATTTCATTTGTTCAGTTTGCTACCTTTAAACTGGCACAATTTATTAGCTTAATTCTGGTTAATGTCAAGGTGACAGCATATTTAATATCTTTTTTTAGAAGGGTATAGTTCCAGCACTTGATAGTACGAGTATAGTTTAGCAATTCATGACCCACACTGACTTAGAAAATGAGCTCTCAGCTATATTTTGCCTTCCCCACTTACCTCGCAAATCAGTGTTTGATTCAAGTCATTTAAATGGTAGAATTTCAGTGTTTCTAAGTTGTTGCAAGGAATAGATTGAGGGAGGGAAATATTAAAAGAAGAGATGTTAGTGCTGGTGATTGTTCAAGGGGTGTCATCAGTCAGACTGTCGCACTGGAAGAGTAGAGAGAGATCAGCTGGAACTACGAAATGGCAAGTGGAAGGCCCTCTCAACACTGATCTTCTTGTGACCCCTACTCTGTCCTCCAGTTAAAAAATTTGTCTCTGGGAATTGAGGATGACAGGATGATTCTATTACCTGTTCACTGTTTGTACCAAGTTTCCAAGCACAGTTACTTTTATAAAAATGGCAGTGGGCTATGCCTTTTAGCTTTAATGTTCTAATCGTGACCATTAGCTGATTGATACATCTGAATGATTGTACTTCTTAAAAAGAAATTAATGTTGCATATACATTTGGAATGAGTATGCAAATATTTCTTGTATTTTTAAACCAGAATACCTTGCTCATTCAACTTTGCCTCAAAAGGAGCAAATGATACATGGCTTACCTTGCTGGTTCGTATACTGTTTCCATTCCTAATGTGTATGTATGTATATATGTATACATACATATATACATACATACATACATATATGTACACTATTTGGAAGAGCAAAATAATAGAATAAGAAAATATCCCAAGTCCCATTCAGGTATATGAACAAATTTAGGAATTTTATAACTTTAACAATTTTATGTGAGTACACTCCACATATACTGGGGGTGCCAAAAAATATATACATACACATGGCTTGTATTCATCTTTTGTTATTGGTATATATTATTATAATTTTAATATAGTTTTTTCCTTTCTTAAAATGTGTATACGTCTTTTTGGCACCCTCTGTATATAGCCTTCAGAGAATTTGGTTATGGGCCATTTTGGGGTGAAGATGTAATTTCTGCTATGAAATGTACATTCTTATTTTTCTCTAGTTTTTTTTCTCATGTCAAATTCATTCTGACACAGGAGTACAGGTAAAAGGAAAAGGTGAAGAGCACCAAGATGCTTAACAGCTCAGTTGAGAAAATTCTGTACTAAGGTAGTTTCTTAATGGAGCAGATAATCAGCCTTTAAAAAGAACTGCTCTGTAGTTTAATATCTGGAAGGATTAGAATTCATTAATTTGAGAAAATAATGACAAGTTATGATTAGCACAAATATAACAATATGATTTTTAAGAGGAATACATTGACAAATCATGGGAAATGCTTGTAATTAGGAGTCGGGGTCCCCAAACGCCCTTCCCGTGTGCTGTACTAGGTGAGCACGCTCGCCTCACATTTACTACAGAGAGAGATTTTCAGAAGTAATGTTGGTGGCAATGGAAAATTACCCAGTAAAGATACATAATATTTAGTTGTTTAAAACAGCGACTTTGGAGAGTAGTTTATTTCATAGTTCCTGAAATAAAAATGGTGTGTGTTTAAGATTTAGACCATTTCAAGACATTAAAACAAACTGGGTATATGTAAACATGGCAATGCTTTTTCTCTATGCATATCAGTTTTTGATGAATTTGGAATTTATCTTCTTTTTCTGCAAAAACTCTAGTAATGTTTTAAAGGTACTGTAATGTCCATTATTAAGTCATTGTGTTGGATTTTTGTTTGGATGTTACTGTGTCCCAAAATTGCAAATGAAATAACAATTTTTAAATGTTGTCACTCTTTATGTGGCTAACAAATAGAATTTCCTAAAACATAATCAAAATACTTTTTTTTTAAAATAAGAAAGCATCCAGTTATAGGTAATTCTGAGAGTATTTGGCTATGGATATGATATTTACTTGTTAGTTACCACCTCAATTGATGGGAAGGCTTTATAAATGAGAAGAAAGCTCACTTAACAGTTTTGGCATTTTTATGTTTTCTTCAACATACAATATTTGTTCACAGATTTTGCACCATTTTTGAACAATTCACGTAAGTCAATGGGTGGTGGTAACTCATGAGCTAACTGGAAGATGGGTCAAAAATACTTTATAAAGTACTAACTTCTATTAAACATTGTTTTGCTACAATTTTAATGGAATTATAGTACATTAATGTTAGTTTATCTGTTCTAGACACTTAATTTGAAATGTTTTCATTCGAATAACTCCAAAATACATATGCAGAATAAAATTTAATTGTTGTTTTATTAAATTACTTAAATAACTAGCATTTTAAACTGTGAATATACACAGTTCTTATTGTAGCAAAACTCTGTCTTAATAAGCAACTGAGCTTTTAGAATAAAGACTAACTTCAGGTGCTGGTTTCAGACACTGTCATGGTTTAAGCATTTCTGTTCAAAGAGATTTGAGTTTTGTATGATAATAGAAATACAGATTTAATAGGATGCCATCTAATAGGAAGTGGAGATTATTCTGTTACTTTTATAGCTTCCCATAATGCTTTTTTTTTTTTTTTTGGGGTAACAAAAACTTTGAGTCTTCTTAATGTACTGTAAATTTCTTCTACAGTCAGTTAAGCAACAGTTATTTGGACATACAGCAGGTCCTCAAATAACTTCGATTCATTCGTCATCATTTCATTACAACATTGATGAAATACCATAGGAACTTAATTCTTGTTGATATCAATTAACTTGTGGTAAAATTGGTTTCATTATACATATGTTATTTCGCTTGAAGTCGCTGAACCTATTGACAATATTACGTGAGGACTTAGTGTAATGCCTTATTTATTTGCCAACTGGTTGGACCTGATTTTTTAAAAGTGCTTCTAGTAATTTATAGGGCTACATTTGAAAATTATTTCCAACTTTTGAAGATAACATGAGTGAATGTGAAAGAAACAGTTGTTTGGAAGATTAGTTATAAGCTTTTAAAGTCTGTATCTTTGTACTTTTCCAGATGGATATTTGTTTCAGGCTTCCTTGATACAATTTCAGTTCTCACATTAGTAGGAAAAGCTATCAAAGAGATTATGTTGGGTTTTTAAGTTTTACACAATATATTAAGTTACAAGAAACTGTAGCTTTTAAAGAAACAAGTAGGTTAATCTAATGGTTAGTTGTCAGTATAGTAGTAAGCTTCCTATCAACTGGACATTGAATTCTAATTCACTGCTTAAGATGGAAGGAAGGGTTTTTATTTTTTTATCCTTTTAAAATGACTTAGTTTTGAGTTTGGGGTGTATTTTGTGCAAAGTAGGTCATTTTTAGAGCTTAAAATGGAAACATTGAGCTGTAAGTAGTTTTGGGGGAACAGGAACAAGAGGATACATAAGCTCATCTGTGTTAACATGCTAAGGGCGATGCCGCTTTTTACAGTCACTAACAGAACGGGGCCTCCTTTTCATTCCTTCGTAGGTGTGGCACAGGTTTTCTAACTGCTTTTTGCTTTCTCTGCTTTGCACAGAAATAAATTCAGCCACTCTAAAGCTTTTGCTATTGGTGTAAAAAGTAGAATAAGAGTATTTTCATCCTTTCAGTACTTGGAAATTCTTACAAAAGCCATGTGGCTGTTCTTGACTTACACATATTATATAATTTTTCACTGACATACTTAGCTTTTCAGTCAGATTCTTAGTTGCGCTGCAGTAAATGGTTAGTCCATTTTGAATGTTGTGAGTATAAAGTGTATTAAACAGATTTACCAAAGTTATGCTGCTGAAGATGTAAAGTCATTGCCCCAGAGAAATGTTTATATTGGCAGATAAAATAAAAACCTGTTTAGTAGTTAAAATTGAACAAGGGAAAAGAGATTAATATGAAGTCAATGCCCAGCACTATCAGAAAAGCAAGGATGTTTTTTCCTATTGCAAAAAGAACCAACACTTTTGACGTATTGAAGTTGATTTTATTCCAAGAGAAATCTGATTTCAGAGTAAGTAAATATCTCTGAGGAGAAGTTTATGCTTACTTTTACAGTTTTTGTAGTCATTGTGTCATGAAGTTATTTAAGTATTATTAGTAAAATATTTGTATTAGCTTGGCTATTTTAAATCACAAAATTGGCAAAAGAGGAAACTTTTATGTCTTGTTCTTTTTTGAGGAAATTGTGATTAAATGCACAAATATCTATAATCCTTCAGATTTGTGAAATGACTGTTTTATCATAAACAGTCCCGTAAAGTTATTCTTCAGCCTTCATTAAAACTCTTTGGGGGGGAAATATAAATCTAGTAAATAATACTAGTTTGCTTTTCTGCCATGTGAGTTTATTTTAGGTTATGGATACAGTCATTTGTGGAAATCTGGTAGGGGTTGGTTGTTGTTATTGTGGTGGCTGGAGAGAGAGTGTGTGTGTGTGTGTGCATGTGTATGTTTGCAATGAAAAGGAACATCTTTAGGGAAAGAAAATTCTAAGAAATCACACTGACTTGTAGTCATCTATGGGCAATTAACACTTACATTTTGTTTAAAATTTACCATTAGGAATCCCTCTTCTTCCATTTCAAAAAAATGTGTGGTGTATTTTAGGATTAAAGACTGTTTTTGTTGTCCCCTGGGCTGCTGGTGTAACTCTCCTTGTTCTGCGGAACAGCTCAGCAGAATCCAGCTGCTCAGCTTCCTGCCCGGCAGCAGGAGATCGAAATGAACCGACAGCAGCGCTTCTTCCGCATCCCGTTCATCCGCCCTGCTGACCAGTACAAAGACCCTCAGAATAAGAAAAAAGGCTGGTGGTACGCTCATTTCGATGGACCGTGGATTGCCCGGCAAATGGAACTCCATCCTGACAAGCCACCCATCCTTCTTGTGGCTGGTGTGTATGATGCACATGAAAAAATTTTATAAATCAAAAAATGATGATAAACTCTGAATGAAACAGTCTAACATGTAATGTAAGAATTCATTAAATTTCAGGGTTGAGGGATGGAGTTTTGCAGTTCAATCACATTTGCAGTTAATTGAGGATTAACTTATTTACAGTGTGCAATCGCTTGGATTAATTATGTCCTATAGAGCACATAGAAATATGTCTGTGTCCTAAGAACCTTTTCATTGGTGTTTAATCAGTTGATATGTAGAAGGTTTAAGGAGATGTAGCATTTTTATTAACTCCAATAATGTGTTTGACCAGCTCTAGTGTTAATACATTTTGAAAGGGTCCTTGGTGGAGAACAAATTTAAGTGGCCTCTGGTGAATCTATTTAGCACATTTCAACCTTAGAAGAAGAATATAAAGCTCTAAAAGTTCTCAAAATCTACGAGAATTGATAGATATTTCAGGATTAAAGTTTATAATAAATGGATCTGAAAGAGATCTCTGATGTCTTATCTATGCAGGTAAGGATGACATGGAGATGTGTGAGCTGAATCTTGAAGAGACAGGCCTGACCCGAAAGCGTGGTGCTGAGATTTTGCCAAGACAGTTCGAAGAAATTTGGGAACGCTGTGGAGGCATCCAGTACCTTCAGAATGCAATTCAGAGCAGACAGGCTAGGCCCACCTATGCGACGGCCATGCTGCAGAATCTGTTAAAGTAGATGTTGCAAGCTAACCTTGCAGCTGGGAGCCCTTGCTGTGGTACTAGGTAGGGTGTGTGCCCCAGAGATATAACCATTCCACGGTCATGTTAGAATTACTTATACCAAGTGAACAGATTTTATTAATCATGGCTTTTTGTTAAGTTAAGGTTAATTACGGTAGTGATTTGGGGACCTAAACATTATTTTCCTGTATCCAGCTGTAGCTATTAAACCTCTTACTATTCTAATACTTGTTACACTTGGACAGATTCTGACATGTCTCATTCTTTGCCAACAGACTACCTTAAGTTCATCATCATTGTTCTCTAGGAAAAGAAATTTTTTTTAAAAATTCAAAATACTTGATTTTTAAGGATGACTCAGTACAATATAACTGGAATAATGAAACCTTTCCTAAATTTTCTTACAAAAACTAAGACACTTAAAATGATCAAGGCATTGATATTTTGATATGAAAAGCTATATACATTCTTTACTCACTTTTGCAGGAATTCATGGAAATTTCCAGTAAAGGTGGAAATTTTTATTCCCCTCTACCTTTACAGTGTGTCTTAGTTTGAGTACAGCAATTCACCTGATGTCCTAGCATTCTAGAAAGAGCCTTAACATAAGTGATGTACTTTGTGATAAAGAAGTACTCATAGCATCCTGCATAGATTTGTCTTTCTTCTCTATCACACTGTGTTATAAGAATATTTTTCTTATATTCCGTGGACAAATAAAGGAAATTCAGATCATTTAAATGCTTAAAAATCTTGAGATAACTTTTGTTTCATTTAGAAAAGAAAATAGGTTTTAGGTGGCACTGTGGCTTAACTGGACTGAATTCAGATATTGTTTCATCTTCATCTCAATTGCGTTGTTTGTGTCAAAATCTTGTCCAAGTTGTTTCACGTGATTTAAGCTAGTGTTCTGCTTCAAAACATCCTTGTTTTAAAAAAATTCCTAGTGTCTTTTTTGGCCTTTAAGATTTTGGTAATTGTAGAGCTGTTTTATAAGCTTTGTAATTCAAAAACCCTTGTACTTAGTAATTGCTTGTTTCATGTAACTGATAATTTAAAAGAAAATTTTCCTTGTGTGCTGTTAGTTTTGATCAAATGTCAGCAGTTTCTAGCCTATATTTATGACTTTCATATTAGGAATTTGGAGACAAAAATACATCGAGGAGTTAAGTTGACATAATCCTAAGGAGTCTTGTTTGTATTTTAGAATAAAATTAGAAAATAAAATTATTCTCTGTACTCTTTTTTTTCCCCTGATTTTTAAAGTCACTAACCTTTGAAATGAATTTTCAGTGTTTTTTTTTCCTAGAAAGAGTACCTCAGTTAGGAAAATATTTCCCAGCTGGTTACATGAGTGCTTGTGAGCCACAGACACTGTTTGCAGAATTGCTTCTCTCATATGTGTCTTAGTACAGAAATATTTATTTATTATGATGCTGTGCAAATGATTGTCTTCTGTTAAAGAAATTAAACGGTCCTATCTGTGCTACTGAGAATGTGAAAATGATTGTCTTTTGAAGGCTGTATTACTCCATAGACTCACCCACCCTTGGGTCATTTGATCATTTGGTCCTTATGATTGGTGACAGAAGGTCTGGTTACTGAAAATAAATAACCTATTCTCTCTCTTCTCATCACTCGCCTTTAATTGTTTTTATTTGCATAGGAGAGTGAATGATAAGCTTTGTTTCTTAACTAGTAACAAGTAAAATTCTTGAAGAAAATTTAGTAACCAAGTAGTTCCTTTAGTACTGTTTTCATAAGCAGTTTTATGTATCTCTTAGATACATGCAGCCACTAGATGGAAAACTGATCTAACAGCTTAAAATTATTGTAATGAGAAAACTTAACATTTTGAAGAATTTGTAAGAACTGTATCACAGCAAAGCACTGTTATGAGCCTTTAGTTTTTTACTTTAATAGCTAGTAAAATTATAGTCTTAAGCCATTTTGTTGCTAATTGTGTCACACAGCTGTCCTAGAACTTACCTGTTTCAAGTAGTCTCCTGAGTTCACTTTGTCTACCAGGAGAACTGCCCTAATTCAGATAGACTCACAGTAACCTACATACAATAGACGCACATACACACAGGAGCCCCTTTGCTGGAGACATTTAGGACCCAACAGCCTATAAGGGAAAAAGCAGAAATGCTGTTCTAAAAGATGTTGCTGTAACTGTTTTGCAGTGTTCACAATCAAACCCCTAAGTGCTAGGTGAAAACAATAGGAATCAAAAGTAAATTCATATTTTAATCAGTTGTTTGAATGGAGATTTAAAATTAGAAGTTTAAACCAGCATACTGTATATTAAGAACTAATCTTCTTTTAATGCTTGTCTCACTTAATACCAGTTCCTTCCTTAGTGGTTACTTTGCAAAGGTAGACATACATAAAATATTAAAAATGAAAACAATATTTTCACATTCACTTATAATGTAATCCCTAATCCACCAACACATTTGAGATGTGTATTATGAGCTCTGGGTACTCACTGAGAGAAAAAAGTTTCTCTAATAACGTATATGTCAAGTGAACAATGAATTTTGGTTGTAAAGTTGAGTAGGTGGCACCTTCTCAAAGAATTATATGAGGAAGAAGTAATGCACATAGGAGCACAAGCCCACACAAAAGACCTTTAATTGTAACTGGAATTCTGCTTCCTATAATGACTTCTTATATGTCATTCTTTCCAGTAACATAGTGAACCCTTTCATTTTGCAAGCAACCAAGAAGAGCTCATCTTAAGTGGAAAAGAGGTGGTATTTGCAGAAGCTTAGATAGAGAATAGAAACTCACAGGCAAGAATAATAATGAGGATTTATTGTTTGGAGAGCTTCATTAATTGGATTTTTAAAAAAGATACTTTACATTCACAGGTTATTTCTGTGGTTCTCAGGGGGTCCAAATCTGTAGATCTTTGTTTTGTTTTGTTTTGTTTTGTTTTGTTTTGTTTTGTTTTTAGCTGAGCCATCCTGCTACCTGTTGGCAGCTCAGCTGCTGCTCAGCTCGGGCTGGTGCTCAGAGCTCAAACTCTTGAGCGAGCTCTTAACTAACTGAGCCACTAGGCCAGCCCAGATCTTTGGTTTCTTTATCTGAAGTACCATAAGAGTACTTGGATCAGTAGGATAAATATTTATTGAATGAATCAGTCAATTAATACAATGTTAGTTGTAGACCTACCTCCTTTTACAGAAGAGGTGACAGAGATCCAGAGAGGCAAGTAATTTAGTTCTAGACCATGAAAAAGGTATAAATGCCTTTGCTTCAATCATGTGGAGCGAAAGAATCAAAACAAGCAAACTTTTTTTTGAATAGTCCCCTGAGGATTTCCAAAGGGTTGCCCCTCTGTCATGCCACGTCTTCCGAAGCTGTGGCAGGTTTTCTCTGTCATTACCAGCAATAAGAAGTTGTAAGTTTTTATTTCTCACAGAATAAAAATTAAAGGGAAAAGAGGGCAGAGGCTATCTAAAAATAAGGATAAAGACAAGCTGGGGGTAACAGTTACAACAATAAGGAAAGAGAAGAGCAATGGTGGAAGAGAAAGAAAAGGGGTGCCCCTGAAGACTTCACCCCCAGGTTGAAAACCACTGAGACATTTTAGGCGACAAAGAACTCCTAGATCTTTGCTAAATTTTAGAATGAATTGTGTATAAGAGCAGGACGTACGGTCATTAAAATGTGGATCAAAAGAGACCTGGTGTATAAATTCTTAGCATATGGAAATGGCAGTGCCCCCTGGAGACAGCCAGCGGTGAGCAGACATTGTGTGCATATGCGCCATGGAGGGGTCAGGTGGGGATACTCAAAGGTAGAGCTGAACTGTGCCACGACCAGGTCTTTGGCTATAATTAAGTTCAAATAAATGTATTCTTCTTTCCCCATCACTGACTTAATATGTGAAGGAAGTTAGGTGGTTATACTTTTCAAGATATAATTGGGGGAAAAATGCACATCAAAAATAGAATCTTTAATCCTAATTTGTACCTATGCAGAATCTCACCTTCAAACCTCAAATAGGTATATTTAATTGGCCATTTTCACTTTTGAAAAATGCATCTAACTGCAAGTGTTACTTAATTTTTCCTCATTACCTTAAAAATGTATTCCTGATACTTTCCTAAAATACTGATGTATTTACTGGAAATAAAAATAAATGCTTTCTGTGTAGAACTTCTCTTGTGTTTTGTGCTTTTAATACAGTTACAGGGTGTGATAAAGTTTAAAAAGTCATTGTAAATGTTGCACTTGTTGCCCCAAGTCCACGCTGGAATAAGCTGGAGAAGTCTGACATCCCGAAGCTTCCTCCAGTCACCAGAGCTGGAAACCCTGTGCTAGGGGCCGTAGAAGAGGCAAGGAACTCAGGTAATTGAAACATCCTCGAGCTTTGGCCCAAACTCCTATGGGTTTTCCATCCAGGACTTCTCGTATGTGAGCCACAACTCATTTTGCCTGGATTGGAGAAAAACTAAATCTTGTCTGCCTTTTCCCCAGGTCTTAACATTGCAATCTGTGAGATGAGACAGGATGTAAAAACGAGACCCAAAGAAGAGCCCTTTGCCCTAAGACTTCGAATACAGCTGCCTCCGTAGGCTACTTCATAGCCCTCGCCTGGAACCTACCATGATCCAGGTGGGTCTTCTGAGACTGCAGAGAGACACGGGCTGTCTTACCTCAGCAGCGCCTCTCTGGCTGGTTGGAAAAGATGAGTCTAAAAGTGGGTGATCCAAAGACTGAGAGGCAGTTGCTTCAAAAGGGACCTTCCCCTTCCCCACAGGAATGGAGTGTTTACCTATTTCTCTTTCCCCACCAAAAACTACCTTCTCTGCAGTAGTTAGAACACAAATGTAGAGGGTGGACGGCACATTCTGGGCGGTGGTAGTAATAGATTTTCATTTTCTCACTTGATGAGATACTTTTCATGTGCTTTTGGTCAGCCTATCATGCTTCTAACAAGCATGTTTTCCTCTGGGAAGTCCCAGGGACATGGAGGTGAGTAGGTACATCTCTTGCTTTGTGGCACTTGATCTCCAAATCACTATGTAAAGTCAAATATCACCACACCTCACTTTTGGGGAGGATTGGGATGGGAATAGGGATGAAATTTATGCATTTGTGAGGCCCACATGAGTGAGTTTTCAAGGGTTTGTGACCAAAGGGCAATGTCACTTCCCCAAAGATTGTCTCTGTTGGAAACATTTTGTTTTTATTTTTGAAGTTTACTGCTAAAATGTTACCATCAGTGTTTAATATTTTGCTATCTTGTGGCAGCATTAACATCACTCATCATAGAGCCAGCCGAGTGGCGCATTGGTTAAGAGTTGGCTTGGGACGCCAGCTCTGAGCAGCAGGGCCCCAGTTCAGATCCCACATGAGGGCCAGTGACGTGCCCTCTACAGCTAAGATGTTGAACAACAGCTTGACCTGGAGCTGGGCTGCCATGAGTCACCAGTGATGGTGTAGGCTGCAGTGAAGCTGCAGTTGGCTGCCATAAGCTACTGTGAGTGGCTGGCAGCCAGTGTGAGCTGCCAAGAGCTGCCGTGAGCGGCTGTCCAGTGGCTGGTGACTGATCTGTCTCACCCGAGAAGAGCGTAATGATAATACCAACATGGGCCAGTGAAGCAATGTCCTCCACAACTAGACTGAAGAACGAAAAGACAGCAACTTGTCTGTTCCACTTCCCCAATGCTGTTCACCTCTCCCAATTTCCCAATAAAATTTAAAAAAAATCACTCATCATAATCCATAAAGCAAATCCAGGGAATATCTACTAAAACGCAGACCCACGTTACTATAAATTGATGAATATATGGTGCTTTTATTTAAATTAAGATTTTGCAGCAAATACATGTGTGGAACATGAGAGATACAGAGGAATTCATTTCTCATTAAACAGGACATTAAAAACTGGCTGCATTGGATGACCTTGATGCCAATCTACTTATGTACACACCAGAGTCAGTGTAAAGAAGTATTCAGTGGAGTTACGAGATTATAGGAATGCATAGTAATCTGTGGTGGAAACAGGAATTGGTTATGTTGCAAAGTACAACATCACACGTTTTATCCAAGTATAGTGTCTTCCTTTAAAATAGCTTTATGCAGTAACAAGAAAAGTAATATTTTCTATGGTATGTATATCTGAACAGTTCTGTCTTTTAAAGGAACAAATCAGGAATTACTGGCAACAAAACAATCTACTGTGTAAGCAGTAATTTCTTATAAAACTAACGTGCCTAAAAACTGAAGGTGTGTGTGAGTCTGAGTGTGTGTGTGTGCGCATGCTCACACAAGCTACAGACATCGAAGTATGTGCATATAGCCCCTCACCAGTGTTTACATACTATATACACCCATGCATTTAGAGACCTGCATCTCCTGGCATAAGTAGTCAACTTTGATGTATGAAGAGCTTTGCTTCCCAGTAGTGTTCACCACGCCATCCCCCACCCAACAAACAGTAAATTGCTCTTGTAAGTTATCCATGAGAAGCTGGAAGCAAATCTGCTTTACTATTATCTTGACTATTACCCAGGAATAGCCAAACTGTTTCACTGATTGTGTTTGGGGTTTTGAAAAATAAGCATCTTTTTCCTTAAAATATACCAGTCATTAAGTACACGATTCTTCTCTATTTGAAACATGGTGTGTGCTGGTTCTCAGTGTTGACTGTATGCCTGGCTCCTGATGACCAGTAAATATGCCTGCCTGTGTTTTCAGAATTTTGACAGAGTGGATACAATTTTCCTTGAGAAAGCAAACCATCTCTCTTGAGATAGATTAAATGATAATCTGTACATTTTTCGTTTTTAATTTCCTTCCCAGTCTTGATGGTTAAATTCTTCATATCCTACAGTCAGTAATTCAGAATCTGCCTCCCCCTCCCCAGTTATCTGGAAGAGAAATAGATTTAAGAACTTAAGAAATGCCATCCAAGGTCAAATCATTGGTTCATTCCAAAAATAACCTGGTGGATGAAAAAATATGCTTGCTACTTATGATATATTTTTTGAAAGATTGAAGATGCCCCCCAAAATATTCCTAATCTTTTAACCTAATAGAAATGCATTCTATCTCTTCTTTTCTTTTTAAAGATTTTTATTAAAATATAGCTAACATACAATATGTTAGTTTCAGGTATACACCGTAGTTATTCAACATTTATTCAGTTATTCAACATAACTGAAGAAATGATCACTGTAAGTCCAGCAACCATCTGACACTGTACTATGCTATCACAAGATGGTGCCCACCTGCTGGCTGCACAAAAGGAGGCTCCCTCAGGGAAAATGACAACTGTTTCTCTAGTCCTTGCCCAAAAGCCACAAAATTCAGTCTCCTCATATGTCTCTGATGCCCCCTGAGTCATTGTCCGTCCGCCGGAGCCCAGGGTGAGTGGCTGCAAGTGAGGCTCTGTATGGACCCTTTAAGAGGGTGTCTAGGCTTCCCACACCTTTCCATCCCACTGTTTTTCACAGCCAAATGTTGTGGGGGCTCCTCTTCCTGGGACCAGTACTCCAGGCTGGGGAGCCTGACGTAGGGCTGGGGTCCTTTGCTTCTCCCAGGGAAACCTTCATGGCTGAGATATCCCTCCCGATTCTCAACTGCCACATGGAGGTTTCGGGCTGCCTGTTTCATGTCTCTGCCCATCCTACCAGTCTCAATGTGGCTTCTTTAGATCCTTAGTTATAAAATTAAAACGACTTTTCAGCTAGAGTTCAGAGGTTTCTCCAGGTTGATTGTTCGATAATTTAGTGGTAATTTTAATGTGGTCATGGGAGGATGTGAGCAGAGTGTTTTCCTACCATACCATCTTGGATTTCTTCTTCCATCTCTTCTTAAACCTACTTATTGGGTTGTTGGAAAAGTAATGTAATGTAAAACAAAAAATATGTCATGACTTTTCCGACAACCCAATATATTCTCAGGCTGAACGACCTCTTGAAGCAGGGAAGGCAAATAGTTGGTAAATTAAAGTCACCATATTCGCTTCCAACCATAGCAGGCATTATTATTTCACGCTTCTTCATTTGAACTGTGGTCCTTAATTCTACCAGACACTTCAGGATTTATTTGTTGTTTGCCTCATCCTGGGCATTTTCTTAATATCAGATAGTGTGTGCCATTGTCATTTTATGGCTCGAGTCTGAACTTTTTCTGTCTTTCCAATGATCTTTGCTTCAGATGTCAAAATGGCTTACATTATTCCCAGGTTGCACCTGG